CCCAACATGGTGGACAATTTAGCTTAAATTTAGCCACACCCTCCCATTGATTACATCAGTGCAAGAACTCTATGAGACGTAGATTTAATTAAATATAATAATAATAATAATCCACACCTACTACATAAACATTGTCTTACCAGATTTCCATAAAAGCTGAGAGAGAGAGAGAATAAAATTATCTCCTTGACTCGTGTGATTATGTCAGTGTAATCTTCTTTGGTCACTTCCTGGAATAAACTCTCTAACACTTCTTCTCTTCCTTTTCCTGTGGCTTGTTCTCACTGGAGTGTCTCCTGCTAGTGAAGGACTTTTAAGAGAAGAAAAGAAAGGTCACTCAATTAGACTAGTCACTCAATGTTCTAATGTTCTAATGTTAACTTTCTGCCGCCATCTTTGAGGAATGCAATTAGTGAATGAGCCACGCCCTTATCCAGCCCCACCCTAACCTTTCTGCAAACTAAAAGTAAATAATGGCGACGAAAAGCAGCAACTATTTCTCTCCTCCTTCTCTCTTCTCTTCTCCTTTGACTATTGGTAATGTTCATTAACTATCTATGTATCATTGAATGTGATTTTAGATCAACTTATTGATGTACTTAATCTGTTGAAGAGATGTGGTTTCCCTCAGAGGAGATGGAAGGAACTAGGACTGACACTAGGACTAGTCATAGACTCACTGGATGCTATTGAAAGGAATCATCCTGGTGATGTATCTCAATACTTGACAGAGTGTCTCTTCAAGTGGTTGTCCAGAGCTGATAATGTTGACAGTAAAGGAGGAGCTACCTTTGACTCATTGTCAGATGCTCTTAAATCTATGAATGAGAATGCTGCAGCTGACAAGTTAGATCAAGAGAGTAAGTTAATATCACTGATTGTATTAGTATTGACTGTGTGTGTGTGTATTCTATAGAATGCAATGCTATGATCAGTGGTAATGATACCAAAGGAACCAATGATATACACAGTACTGCTACTGGTGAGTGTTACATTACTGGACTAAAGTACAGTTACCGGGCAATAATTGATTATTAAGAATAAATCATAATTCATAGATTAGTATCCCATATACAGAAACAATGAATAATTTTAAATGAATAAATAAAATTATATTATTCTTATGGGAAATAATAAATGTTTAATTGAAAATCTAGCTATATACTGCAGCAATTTTTTTGTTTTTTCATCAACAATAGGAGCAGCTCCTCCTACAGGTACAAACAAGCCATTGATAGGAGGTCCTCCACTCTCTCCTATTGCATTAATGGATATACCAGATGATAGACCAAGAGTATCTGAATTGATAGAGTTTCATGAGTTATTGATCAAAGGACAAGTGGAGGAGTCTCTACCACTGCTTGATGCTGATACTATAAGAAAGATTAGAAATGCTGTTAATGATCATGAAGGAATGTCTCTTCTTATAAGAGCATTTGAAGAACATCCAACACTGCTACATAAAATAAGGACAACTGGAATAATAAAAGGTAATATGTCAACTGTGCATGTGGTCTATTTTATAGCATTCAATAGGTTCATTGAGAAAAGTCGAAGCTCCTCTACCAACAACACCTAAACTGCACCGACCATCACTAGCTACACAACCCTCACAAATAGAGTCTACTATTAATACTCCATCAGATGTACCAATAGTAAGAAAAGGCACACAGTCACCAGAATACATTACGATGAAAGAGATGTTAGCTGATCTTGTTGATCTGTTGGCAGGAAATGCTCCAGTTATTCCACAATTAAATAATCATCTCTTTTCATCTGATCTCATTCCTAAAGCAGTACATGTTACTGTTGGAGCCACTGGACTCAGTCCTTATGATAGAGCTAATAAAATATTCTCTTCAGTACTAGCAACAATTGAGTGTCATTCTAATCCTAACAGTGTGTTCTCTTCTCTCATTATATCACTACAGAAAGTAGGACTAAAGAACATGGCATCTAAACTAATGGAAAAACTAAGTGAGTATAAACATGTTAATGCAACTAA